TAATTTTAAACCTAATTCTCAACAGAAAAAAAGCACACTTTTGTCTTAAAACGACTAACAAGAAAAAAAAAACAAATAAAGTATGTATGATCTGTAGAGCGCTTTTTTGATTCAGTTTTCTCTATTTGCCATATGCCTTATATATATACTATATGCTCATTCTCTACCATTTATGTCATTATTTCAAAATGAAAAAAAAAAAAATTTTCCGTTCATTAAAAAAAGAATTTTTTTTTTCATTTTTATCAAATAAATATTATTCCTCTCATTAGCCATTCAATTTTTCAGTTTCTTGCAAAAATGAGAATATTTTAAAATAAATATATGCTTTTTGAATAATGATCTTCTCTTGTCTCTTTCATCACTCTCTATAATTCTCTATATATATATATACTTATCGCTCATTCTTTCAGCTCTCGAAAAAAAAACTATTTTTCTTCTATATTATTTTAATTGAATATTTAATTAATTATTCTTTTTTTTCACTATCCAACTATATTAATGTTATTATTTTTCTTTATTATTATTATTATTATTATTATTTATTCCATTAGGAATAATTTTTTAAACAATTAATTTAACAATTAATAAAATTATATTTTATCAATTTATTATGCAATGACACGCGTACGACTTTTAACAATGAAATTTTACAATCTATTTAAATGTTATACGATATTGATACTTAAAAAAAATAAAACGTCAACAACGAGATGAACGATTTATTCATTATCTGAAAAAGTGTGTAATCTAATGAACCTCTCGTCGCTTGCGTTCATTGCTATATTAGAATAAAATATATATTACACATTATAATCCAAAAAAAAAAATTTTGCACCGAAAGTAAAAAAAAAAGAATTTTCTCAAAAAAAAAATCTATAAACTAAATTTTTTTTCGCATTATATTATAATATTATAATTTTCCAATTACCTGAAAAAAAAAATTTTTTAATTTTTATATACATAATATATGTATTCACGCAATAAATGTGCCTCGTGAAATTTTATTTTTTATACTGTCCTAAACACCATACATAATATTTAAAGGACCGATTATATATTGTATATTCTTGTGGCATTAATATAATTAAAATTATGTTAAAATAATTTTTTTATTTAACATGATATAAGAATGATTAAATATATATATATATATATATCTATATATATATATATATTAGCGAGGTTCGTTTGATTTATTAACGCCGTCACGTACTTGCGATAAAAAATAGTGTCAAAAAAAAAGAGAAAGAAAAAAAAATTGAATCATTAAAAGTTTGACTGGTCAAAATGAAAAAAATATATTGTAATTCTGTAAATTGACTTCTATTCACTTGACACGAATTTAGAATTAGTGGCCGAGAGCAGAAACACCCTAATTATTCTCGCAAACAATGCAAGTTATGCATTTATAAGTATATTGAACTGTAATAAATTGAAAATATGAGTATAATATAAGATAACGTATGGTAGATATTATACATAAGTATATACATATTACAATTTAAATGAATCTGTAATTACACGCATATGAAATACAGAAACATATTATTGATATCATGGGTTAATAATAAAAAATGATAAAAGAGAAAATTAAATTGTATCTTCTATTTCATTCATTGCCCTCAATATTATTTTTAAAAATCCATTTTTTTATAAAAAAAAATCATGAAAAAACAAATTTAAATCGACTTATAAATTTTTCTTCAAATTTCTTTTATTTTTCTACTATATTTTTTTTTTAAATCACCAAATATCTTTATTACCAATTTAAACAATAAAATTTCTATAATTTTTTAATCTTTAATTTGTAAAAATATTAAAAAATTTTTTTTTAAATAATTAATTATAAAATAAAAGAAAATCGCTTTCTATAATAAAATATCAAGAATTAATATTAGAAATTAATCAATACGTTTCATATCGAGAGTTCTACACTTAGTAACAATTCAGAAAATTGAAATAACAATAAATTCGATAATAATTTTTAAATCACCTTCTGTTGGTAATTTCCAAATGGCAGATAAAGTAGAAATTTTGCTTTCAATATTAAATTTTATCAATAAATGATTTTTTATCGACAGTAGAAAAAAAAGTTATCGTATGGTAACATAGTGAAAAAAAAATGTATCAACACATTTTAGAAAAATTATCCTTAAGAATATCGAACCTTATCGTCAAATGGTAAGTAATAATTTTACCAACAGATGGTAATTTAACCATTAAAAATATAAATTAGAATTTTTAGTCCTTATCGTCAGATGTTAACATACATTTGGAACATTTTTATAGTTTTTCTAAAATTACCATCAGATGGTATTTTTATTCTATTAAATAATTTTTTTTTTTTTTTCAAAAAACTTAAGAGAGAATACTTTCGGGCGCCAAATCCAGTTGGCGCTTTTAATAAAGAGAGCTATTTCTGGAATTTCGCCCTTGTTACAAAAAAATTTAAGTCGATTAGCTGAACTGAAAAGGACTCACGAGAACATATTTATCTGATAAGTCTTATTAAATAATAATTAAAGCAATTTAATAAGCGCTTACATGTTTTCATAGAAAATTTGCTCATTTTAATGAGAAAAAAAAAAAATTGTTTCATATATTATATTTCTAACAAGTAATTTTGAAATGAGATTAATCAGAGGGAATTTAAATTTTTAATGAAATTTTAATATTAATAGGTAAATATTAAAAATAATATAATTATTAAAATAATTTATAAATAAATAATATAATTTTTAATTTTTTGAAATTTTTTTAAAACTAATAAATAAAGAGTACAAAAAAAACTTGTTACATTTATGGAAAGCACCTTATAAAGTAGATGAGCATAAAAAAAAATGTCAGGTCATTGATACTGAATCATCATTTTAACCTTGAGATCAAATTTAGAAACTGAGAAAAAAACTGTCGAACAAAATATTTAAAATAATTATAAAGAAAAAAAATTTTTTTTTCTAAACTATTTCAAAGAGGAGAAAATTCGCAATAAATGGATTTTTTAATATTTGAGAAAGGATAATTTTTATATGAAAGGATATTCAAAATGTCATAAAAATAATGACAACAGTTTTTTTTTTTTAAAGATTTTCTACTTTATTTCAATTTCCATACCTGAGAAAATAAATGATTTATTATAAACACGTGGAAGCAAGAATGCCAATGACAGTTCACATCCAATATATCTAGTTGAAAACTTGTCATAAACTCGAGAAAACTTTGACGAAACTATTTTATTAATTATGTGATATAGAAACTTATACATTTAACAATTCTATATTTAGAATGAATTGTATATAATTTAAATACTTTAAGTTTTCAAAATTATTTCAATCAAATGTTATTTAATCGAGACTTCTTAGAAAAAAAATATCTCTTTAATTTTCAAAAAAAAATGTAATTTTCCCTATTTTTTAATTTAATTTAATTTCATGCTTTTCAATTATTTAATTTTCTACTTCAACAAAGTTCAAGTCTTTTAATGGTAATTAAAAGACCAATTAGTAAAATTTCGTAGAAAATTAAAGTTCTTTCTATACAATTTTTAGATGGAAGTTAGTAATTTAAATTTCATTAATCTTTATTTTTTTTAATTTACAATTTAAAAAATTTCATGAACAAAATATGTTTTGGTGTTTAATTTCTTTTTTTTTATAAGGAAATTTAAACTATTCGTAATAGATAATAATTTGAAAGAATGAATTTTTTTTTTTCTCTAATATTTTCACTCTTTTGCGTTGTAAAAGACTCTTTTGAATGAGATATAAATAACAAGCTGTTATGCAAGTAAAAAACAAATCCTTTTACTAATGACGTAACAGAAAAGCCAAAATAGTTCTGACCAAAGGGTATTAGACATTGTCTGATTATAAAAGATTTTTTATTTTAAAAAATATAAAAATAATTTTTTAGGAAAAAAAAATTAATTAATTATTAAATAATTATTTAAATGAATTATTAAATAATTATTTAAAAGAATTATTAAAAATTTAGTTAAATTAATTAGAATATTATTCGTGTCATATAATTTTATCATTTCTGAGCAATTAGGAAAAAATTTATAAAGATGAAACAGGAGATGAAAAATGATATTAATAAATAAGATTAAAATAAAAAAAAAAAAATAATGAAAAGCTATATGATATCTTGAAGGTGGAAAATGGTTATGTTTTTTCACCAAAAAATCCCAGTGAATTTATGGTGTGATATATATTTATGTATACAGGAAATATCGGTTTTACACGATGTTATCCTTACACTACTGCCCGGGCAAACGAATTGTCATATCCGCACACATTTACTGAAATACGGACACTCCTCGAATAGTAACTTCACAGGCACGTGTCGCTGCCACAGTCAGATCAATAGGAGAGTTGAAATTTCTCTCTCGAGCTGTGTAAACCTTATATATATATATATAGACATAAATTTTCATTTGTTTCAAAATTTAAACTCTCTTCAATGTATCAAAAACCAAAAAATTAAAAATAATCAGTTACTTATTATCAAATAAATATTTACTTCAACCAAATAAATAATAATCTACTTGACTATTAGAAAGTAAAATATTTTATTATCCTATTTTTATTTATCCTTTTTTAAATTTTTTATTTTTTTTTGTAATTAGAATCTTTTCATTGTAAAAACAATTCTTTGTAATAAGACATGCGTAAATAAATATAAAATTAATATAAATAAAAATTTATTTGCATTAAATAATTATTTGAATTAAATAAAATTGTATCTGAATTTAGATTTAAAACAAAGACTATTTATATTTAATTGACCCAAATAATAATTATTTAAATACAATTAAATTTTTATTTATATTATTTTTATATTTATTTCCTCTAAAAAGAATTGTTTTTACAAAGATTCTAATTACATAGTTAAAAAATGGAAAATATAAAAAAAATTTTTTTATTTAAGGGGGGAACACCAGTTGTAACTCAAAAAATAATGCTTTTTTCAAGAATATTTTCCAAAAGAACAATGAATCTTTTTAAAGAATACTATTTATTAGTTAAAAGTACATGTAAAAAGCTGTAATTTAAAAGAAAAAAAAAATTTTTTTAACAAAAACTTTTGGAGATATGAGCCATTGAAGTGGCGTCTTAAGAAAAAAGGCGAATTGCGGTGACCAGCATTCTGCAAGTATACTTCGTCTGAAATACAAAAATGAAATTGATTTACATTTATTATAAGATTATCTAGTTCGTGATCGAAGGATTTAAAAAAAAAAAAAAATTTGACAAAATGGCGACCTGTCAAAGTCAAAAGTATGATTTTCGTTAAAAAAATACGGTCGATTTTCAGCTATATAAAAAAAAGTTTTGCATAAAAAAAAAAATCCTTCGATCACGAACTAGACTTATATGTGTAAATGAAGCACACTAAATTTTAAATAAATCGGTTTAATGGTATTCGAGTAATCGTGGTCACCGACTTGGAAAATGTCATTTTGAGAAAAACGCATTCAAAGTTTCAACTTACTTTTTTTTGTTCAGAAGAAATTTTGTTTCCAAGTTACAAAGAGTCATCGATTCTTGGACCATATAATAACTCTTCCGCAGTGGTTGCCGTTTCTAAATCATAGGAAAAGGCCATCTGTCGTTAGGGTCAGTTATGGCTGGCCACCTTGTATGAAGCCACGGGACGCGCCGATGCAGTGTTCTGTATATCTCATTTATTTTTCACCGGATCAACTTTGAAATTTACAGACACATTTCTAAATATGTGTACTTTAAGAAAATGCACAAAAAAAAAAATTGATTTTTCGAAAGTTACAACTGGTGTTCCCCCCTTAATAATAGTCAAATAACCAATTATTTGAATCAAGTTTTTTTTTATAATCCAATTTATAAAAAAAGTATAATCTCAAATTGAGAGGCAAAAAAAATTTTAAATAATAATAAAAAAAATTATTCTCTTTCGCGCAGAAATATTATTTGATTCGAAGGGAAAGTTTATACAAAATTTTTTTGATATAATTTTTTGAAATCAAAGAAAAAAAAATTAATCACTCGATACAATTTCTATTTTTCAAAATGTGGATTATATTTTTTGTCCATCGCAACTTCAAAGTATATATATAGGGAGAGAGAGAAAGAGAGGTAAAAAATATTCCTTTTCACTTTTTTAATCATAGACAAGAGAAGATTTTCTTACACTATAAAGAACAAATGAACTGCGGCGATTACACCTCGGGCTCATGGGTTTTTTGCGGACAAATCGGTCGGAAAATCGATACCCGTTTGAAAATTGTTACTCTCTCACCGATGCTCTAATTTCGTCTGTGCCTGACTAACGAGGCAAAAGGAGGGGCGTACGTCCGTGAAAAAAAATAGCAACCTCAGAAGCTCATATCGCTCAATGTACCATGTACTCTTTCTCTCTCTCTCTCTCTCTCTCTCATCAAATCCATCATGTCGACGACTCATCGAACTTTCATTAGTAACATTGCATTTGCCATCAGTTCACACCTCATCAAATTGCTTATATATATATATATTTTTTTTTTTCATAGATACTAAAATAAAATTACCAAATTACAGTTTTTGCAATTATTTCCTACGTTTTTTTTTTAAATCCATTTTTTCTCAATTCCTAAAGGGCCAAAGTGATAATAAAATATTTTTATATATATCTAAAAATCTGTTGCGAAAAAAAAAAATTATGTGACCCAAATAAACTTTCGATCAAAGGGGAGGGGTATTTAAGAACAAAAGGGCATGAAAACCTAGACCTAGAATACTCGTGAGATATAATAATATATGAATAGCATTGTATACATTTACAAATAAACAATTGAACAATAAGGGTCCATCTCTACCTTCAATCAATAACTATGACGACACGAGTAACATAAAAAAAAATAACGACATTTTTATATTCATAAAAAAAAAACTAGAGAATTTTTCCAAATGACTGACAAAGTGTAATTAAAATTGAATAAATATTTTTAAGACCTTGCAAATTACTTCTCTATTTTGTTCATTGGCATAAATTTTATTTTTATGCTATTTAGAAATAAAAATTAACTATTACTTTTTATATATTATTATACATATTTATTGCGATTAAATTAACTATAATAATTTCCGTATTCATTCATTCATTCCGTCTGTCCACACTTGAAGTTAGTCGTATTTTGTTCCTTTTGTTTTTCTAAAATTTTGACAATTCTTGATTTCATAATATTTTATGGTTAACACGACGGATATTTTTATTCATCGTCATTAATTAAGTCATATACTAAGTGACAGTTTAAAGTAAAAAAAAAAAAAAAATATTGTTCATTGTGTGCAGTACCAGTATATTTCCTACTTGGTATTTATAAAAAAGAAAGTTTCAATTATAATATAATTTTTATTATTATTTATAAATTTATTATATTATATATACATTTTTTATATAATGATTATTACAGATAATTATAGAACATATAATTATTATTTCTTTCATTATTTTTTCATTATTCATTATTATTTATTATATATATTATTATTCATAAATTTATTATTATTAATTTGTTTTTATTTCTAATTATTAAATTGTTATATTTTTTTATCTGATGTAAACAATATAAAAATAGTTTGCTTTTTTAAAAAAATTTCCATTTGATTTTAATTTTTAATTTAAGTTTAAAGTTTAAAACATATTACAAAGTTTTTTTTAGGATTTATTTTTTCAAAATTTTTAAATATTTTTTAATTGCTTAATACTTTTTAAAATATAATTAATAATTTTCAGTTAATTTAAATTTCTTTTTGATAACATAATTTTTTAATATTTATTAATTATCAGTTAATTAAATTTAAAAAAAAAAAACATAAATTAAAAATTTTCATTTGCAACGAAATATTTATAGAAAATACAAAAAAATATTTAGCAAAACTAATTTTTTGTAATTTGAAAGATTATAAAAAATCATCAAACATTGACTTTATCAAAAATATTTATTTCTAAAATTTTAATATTTATATTTTAAAATTTTTACTTAAAAATCTTTTTTTTTTACTATCAATTCACAAAAAAATGATTTTACTCGTTATACACATTCTGTCAATAAGAAAATCCATTCGTCAGTAATATCTTTTATCCCAACAATCTCTGCCTTTTCGTATACAGTATATACATAAGTGACAAAGAATATTTTAATCATAATTGACACAACATAATTAATTTTTCTCGGCATTTCAATTGGCGGCTGTTATGTTGGTGATACTAGAATTGATTTATCAACATTTACACCGCCAATTGTAACTATTGGTTTTAATTTATGTTTTTCTTAGCATCACTTTTTCGATAGGTTTTTTCTTGGGTTTTCATTGTTGTTACCGTCAACAATCGAACTATTAGTTTTACAAGTTTATTAAATTTAAAAATTAACTTAGCTAAATTATTTTTGCTGTATTAACTAATTATGAGCTGGCTTAACTAAAAAATCACTATTTATATAACATCAAACTCATTTTTTTCTGTTTATAAATAAATAAATGATAACGTGAAAATTAGAAATATACCTATTATTAATTTATTACTCCACTGATGCAGAATTATTATTATCATTAATATTATTATTATTTTAAAACAACCATTGTAGATAAAGTTGGACGCGCGCTTGCGCGCGTGTAATTTTGCTAGTAATATTATAATATCCTCGGCTAAATGAAAATCAGTAAAATTATTAATTCTTAAAAATCGATTTCAATTTAAAAAATTGGATTTTTTTTACAGAAAAGATTAAAAATAGTTTTGACATAGTTTTTTTTTTTTTTTTTTTGATTTGAAAAATGGGAATTTTTGTTTATCTCATTTCACAAATGACATTAAAATATTATAGTTCTTTGATATATTTTTATAGAATATATATATATAAACAGTAATTAATATTATATGGAGCACCAAAATGTGTTTTTTTTTTTTATAATATCATCCACCTAAATTATTACTGAATTTCCACTCATCTCGTTAACGAATCAGGACGAGGATAGTTAATAGTAATAATTACTCGACTACGAGTTCCTACCGCGTAATCGGAAACCGGAGTGGTGGAAACTCTCGTCTTTGAAACCCTCATCCTCCCACGACATTAAGTCACTTTATTTACCGAAGCTAAAGTAGACAAACGCATTATACTTTACTCGAAGGTCATAAATATTATGAGTTCGTTTATAATAGGAAAAAAACCAAACTGATTTTAACCTCATTTATTATTCAATTTTCCAATTTTTTTCCGCAATTACTTTCTTTTTCCTCTTTTTTGTTTGTTTTTTTTTTTTTTTAATTGACCATAATGACAAATTATTAGGTTCATATTTTTTTTTTCACAATTTCTTAGTTAAAAAAAAACATTTCCCTCTTTTTGTCAAGTAAAAAAAAAAAAAAATTGAGAAACTACATAATTATAATTGAACAAATCAATTTTTTTTTAACTATATATAAAAAGTCGTCATATATTTCTAATTCGCACTTCCCGGAAGGAGTAAAAAAATTATATTGGCATATTCTGTCGTTTTTTTAAAAAAAAAAAAAGAATATTGATTGCACGAGGAAAATTATTTACATATCTCTTTTGACTCTCAAAATCTGAATTATTGAGAATTTCGACTATGATTGACACTGCAATTTTAATTTTTTTTTTTTCTTTATAAAAGGAAAATTTAATGAAAAAAAAACATACCTATTTTAATATAATACAAAAATCAAAAAATGGAGTAATAAAAAATAATTTTGTTATATAAAACTAAAATAAATAATAATAATAAATAAACATTATTCGAATTTATGAAAAAATAGTAATTTACATTAATAATCATATTTTTGTATTATTAAATCATTTTTGGATAAAATTCAAAGTTTAATGTTTGCTCAATGTTCTTTTTTTTGTAATATTTGCATGAATTTAAAAAAAACATTATTTTGCCTATTTTTTTTATGGTAAAAATATTCAGTGAACAACCAGGTCAGAATGTGATAAACTAATTTATGAAGGGTACCAACCGCCTCACGCCAATCGACACACTTCAGATCGCAAGCGGGTGGTGGCACACCTTCCAGGTCACGTAATATAATTTTTCGCTATATTTCAAATTTTTTTCTATTGAAAATGGTACCTTCACTTTTAATACAAAAAAAAACAGTTAATTAAAAAATCAGTTTTTTATAAGCTGATTAATATATATATGTGGTATATGGGATAATGAATATTTTATTTGTACGCTTAATTAAGAAATTCATTGCAAGTGACACTATGAAAAATTATATACCACGCGGTTCAAAATGAGTTTTCATTATAATGTAAATGCGCTTAAAATAACTTTAATTTAACTTTGAATTTTCTGTTAATTATCACGTTCGTGCAACATTTAATATAGAAAATTAATTAATAACATAATATTGTTATTAATTATTATTTTATTATATTAATTATTATTATCATTATTAAAATTAATATTCGAATTAATATTGACAAACAAAATTAATAAATGACGAAAATTATATATATATTCTTTTGATGAAAATTAATAAATTTATCTCGTTTACAAGTGAATTATTGTATAATTATTTTTTTACCAACATTGAAATTGTGTGTAATTAAAAGTTTAAAGGTATTTTTACCTGAACAAGATACTTTTTTTTTTCCTTAATTCACTTGTCAGTTTGAAGAAATTTATATTCTTTTATGAATTTTTTTTATGATTAATTAATCTTTGCGTTAGTTTGTTTTAGAATAAATTACTTTGAAAATGATAAAAAAGGGATCAAATAAAAGTCTTGATAAAGTTTCTCAAGTACTTTCAACATTTTTTAATCTAGATCAATTTAATTTTAAATTAAGTCTCGCAGAGTATTCAAGAACTGAAAGGCTTATGTACTTCATGAAACTCGTTCTCTCTCTCTCAATCTCTCCCCAAAGAAATATTATATACAAAATTATATGTAAATTCAATGAATAATATATAAATTTAATATTAATATCTCCCTCTCTCTCTCTTTTTTTCTATATAAATAAAAATTCTAATTTTCTTAATTTCGTATATAATTTGATAAATTGACCAATATTTGATCAAATGATTAAACATGTGCTCGCAAAATAAATAAAATATGTCAAAAAAAAAAAAAAATGTATATCTTATTATGAAATATTTCTCTAGGGTATTTTAATATTCTATACGGAAAGAAAAGTTTTTTTTTTCCCATCAAATTAGTTCACAATATGCAATAAAAAAAAGTTATTATTCATTAATGAAAAAAAAAAAATTAATATTTCTGATTTCGAAAAATTGATAGTTACAATTTTTTAACTATTTTAATTTACAAATAAATATTTTAAATAAAAAATCAAATTATTAATAATTAATTATTATAAAATTATAAGCTGACTCATATATATATATATATAAATACAGATAGGAAACGATCTTGTTCGAGCGGTCGATTGAGAGCGACATAGTTGGTTATAGGCAGAGTCATTTAAAAGAGGGACAATGCCCTTTCTTTATACCAATGATTCAGAATATTATAAACCATCTTTTGTGCAAATAAATACGAAAGTTGAATGATTATTTTACTAGATTTTAATTCTAGTTTTAAAATAATAATAATAATTCAGATTATATAAGAAAATCAGAAAGAAAAAAAAAATCTCAAAAAATTAAGAGAAGTTTTTAAAAAATTTTTTAAAAAATTAAAAATAAAATAAAATTTTCTTTTAACCATCTTTTGAAAGGGAAAAATAACTTTAGAGAAATATTTTACAAAATATACAATTATAAATTCAAATTCCCAATTTTCCTTATTTTAATTATATAAAAATCTTGATTTTGATAACAACACTGTATTAATTTATTTATGTTTATATCACGAGTAATAAATCTATAGCAAGTACGCTCTTAGGTTTACACACTGCATACCCAATGCCAATGAAATTTCTGAACCGAATATATTATATACAATGATGTAAATTCCAGTCACAGTATATGAACACATCGTTTCATAACGATATGCTAATAATCTCTCTAATAATTTGTCTTCTATATGTATATTATGAAACCTATTAATTCCCTAAT